TGATGACAATAGCTTTGTAGGTATTAGGGGCAGTAGGAAGGGGTAGTTTTGGCTGAATTCAGCCCAGCCTTGAAACCGGCTCCTTCCCCTTCCCAGCCCTAAAGTGGCCATGTGCCCCTTTCTGGGCTTTTGGTCCCTGGGTGACGGGGTGGGATCTGAGGGAGTCTCAGGACCTTTCTTCTGGGACTTTCTCCGCCCAGCCTTGAGTACCAAAGGACACCTGGGAGAGCAGGCCCCACCCCTGGGAGGCTACAGCTGTTTGTAGTATGGCCTCCTGACCCCCCCATGCTGGGTGAAGCTAGGTGCTAAGCAGCACACCAGCTGGATGGGGAAGAAAGGGATCTAAGTACCTCAGGGTCATCACAAATGGTTCAACTCGCCAGACTCTGGAGCAGCTGTAAGGAAAGGTATTTCTGGTGACTTTGCGGACCATGGGAGACATACCTGTCACGACCCTTTACCTATTTCTACCATCTGCCTCTTGAGTGAGTTCTGATGGCCTGTCTAGACTGAAGAGAGGGACCACTGAGACTGTGGAGGTTGGGAGAGATGCCACAAGCTGGTGCCTGCCCCTGTGCCTTTGCACATGTGGTTTTGTTGTACCCTGAATACCTCTTACATCACATACATCCGCATACCAGAGGCCCACTGGTCCTCAAATGCCACTTCCTTCAGTTAGGTCCACCTGTGGTTCCCTCTCCTGGCCTTCTCCAAGCCTACCTTGCACATTGCTCTGAAATGATTTAGTAGGTGAGCTGAAAGAGCGTATGGTTACAGGACTATCAGCTCTGTACAGGATCAAAGGGAGGGGACTTTTTTTTTGAGATAGGGTTTGGCTATGTAGTTCAGGCTGGACTTGAACTCATTATGTAGCCTAGGCTGGCCTTGAACTTGCAATGATCCTCCTGCCTCAGCCTCCGAGTGCTGGGACTATAAGTGTGAGCCACCACACTTGGCCTGCATGTGATATTTTGAAATAGAACAAGAGCAATAAGAGCAGTAAAAATAATGGGGAACAAGAAAAGTGATAGGCTCCAGGCACAGTGGCACATGCCTGTAATCCTAGCACTTGGGAGGCTATGGCAGGAGGGTCTCAAGTTCGAGGCCAGCCTAGGCTAGATTTAGAGGTTATCAGTACATGTCCCTGCATTCTGCACAAGAAATGTTTCCCTGTTTACAGATTAACTTCCTGGAGGAGCAGACTTCCTTTGGTGTCTTGTGAAAGAGAGAATGGCTCAACTGCCTGATGCTAGTGGATGGCTTAAAACAGCTGTTGGCAGCAGTGCTATCAGCTGTGAGAGGGAAGTTAAAGTGTGTGCTGAGAGTAGGGGTGCAGATAACTGATGTGCACAGGGACTCTGAGTGCCTTGTGCTGAGGTGGGGGGAGATGGTAAGCAGACTTCTAGTGGTAATTATCACAGAGTGGTGACCCGGTGCTGATTTAAACTTCCTTCTTCATTGTGTTAGGCATTTTGAAATTTTATTTTTATTTTT